GGTCCCTCAGCCCTTCCCCATCACACTTGTGCTCCAGGCCCTGCTCCAGCTCCGGTGCCCTTCTCTGGCCCCCTCCAGCACCTCAATGTCTCTGTTGCAGTGAGGGGCCCAGAACTGACACAGGATTCGAGGTGCAGCCTCAGCAGTGCTCAGCGCAGGGGGATTAGCACAGGGGGATTATCATCTTGCAGTGCCATACAATGTGAGTTCACCCAGTGAAGAATCTGATAGTTGTTCTGCAGTAGTTTGCCAAAAGTTGTTTACTTCCTCTTTTATTCCACTGGAGCCTTTCTACTCTTTTTGCTGCTGTACAAGCTGGGAAGGAGTGCCTTTCAGCCCAAGGTCTAGCAAGCCTTCCAGGGCAAAGAGCAACATAGGCCATTAGTGCTGACCTACAGCGTTCGAGTTCTTTGCATAGTTTCATACACAGACTCTGGGCTTGGATTTTAAATCCCAAATTGGATGGCTGGTTGTGTGGCTTTTCTCTGTTTCTTTGTAGTGGCTTGATAACGATAACACTACACTACTGACCTTTGTTTCGTCATGCAGGCCAGTCAGTTGGAGGAGCCTTCACAAGTGCGAAATCAGCTGTGTCATCCTGGTTTTCCACTTTTACACAGTCAACCCAAAACCTCGGGGATTGAACGATGGTTTTCCACGATGCTGCTGAATACTTCAGGTGCAATCCTTCCTCTGAGCTGTAGAAAGACTGCTCCGAAACACAGGAGCGGAGATTGACTATCCAGGACCAAAACAAGGTATATGTTGCTTGCAAGCAGACATGGAATGTTATTATTCAGCTTCTCTAGAAGTATAGAAGAATGGTGAGTGTCTCCATGCAATGGGATGGCATTTCCAATATACTGGTTGTATTGAAAATGACTACTTTTTCTTTCAAACTGAGCCTTTATAAAGACATTAGCAAACAGGGCTTGTGGCAAGCCAAATGTGTTTGACTTTAGATTTGTACATTTTCTTGGATGTTGAAAATATTTATGTAAACTACTTATATTTTTCAATCCAAATAGCCAAATGTTGGTGAATTCTTGTTAGAAATAAGCAGAGTATAAATACTGATTCCTCTTTAGGGTTGGACTCAAGAAGATCTCTGCAAGAAGTATACATTGGAAACCCTCAAAGGGTTCCTTCCAAGCCAGGTGGAAGTTTTTCACCTGCAAACTCAAATCAGCAGGGTGCAGAGTGAGACTGTGGCCGTCTTAAGGGGCTTATTTTTCCCTTTATCCTCTGTAGCCATGTACAGTTTGCATTATTCTAGCTCTCTCTGTCCCCAGATCTGTGTGACAGTTGTGAAATCAGTATTTTCTTGACATCATGCAGTGAGCCTTCATAACTTTACGTATGTTTCGGCTTTGTTACCCTGGGATGTGAAGGGAATTCCATTTGGCAAGATCTCTTCAGGAAAAGGATAACAAAACAATTCTCCCAGATGGGGATTGGATCACAGTCAGTTTTGTGAGATCTTGCTTTTTGATGCTGTAATTACACCATCAGTGTAGTTACATACGTATGAACGCAACGTACTAAACCCGCCTCAAACTACCCGCGTAGCAAACTCTGCGTGGCTTTACTTTAATTTTTGTTCCAGTAAAGTTATGAAGACTCTTCCAAATGAAAATCAGCTCTTGTCGGTTTTCTGTGCTAACTCAGGGAATGTTCTGTTTGGATTGCTACCTTCTTCATAAGGAAAGAACACTAGAGAGAGGAACTGACATGGTTCGGCTCATATCCTTGTGTGAAGAATATCGTAGCTGATATGAAAAGATGTGGCATAATGCTGTATTTCGTGTGCAACATGCATGAGGTGTTTTCTGTATGCACTTCCTCTCTGTGTGTGCCTCTCTATGCCTTCCAGCATCCCCCCATGAGAGCTGTTAACAGTTTCTTCATGACATTATCAGATGTTCCAACTTTCTGTAGTAAAAGGCTCTTAGTTTATTGCCTCGTCAGTATCTGTCAGCATTTTGCCATGTTCTTTTCTGGGGCCAAGATTTCAAGGCATGGTTATTTCATTTCTTCTGTTCCTCAAATAAAAGACAGCAGCTGTACAAGAGATTAACCAGAAGGCTTGAATGTAATTTGTGTTAAGAAATGAAGTTCTTGTTCCTTTAGGTGCGTTTGAGAAGCCCTCAGAAAAGCCACACTTGTATCACTGTCCAGCAACTTAGTTTTCGGTTTTATTGCTTCAAACAGCAATTTGAAAACACAGGGTCTGGTTTAAAACCTTCATTAGTTTTTTTTTCCAGGACTAACTGGATAGAACGGCTGTGGAAAACCTGTGAGTATACAGCTAGTATGAGTAGTTTCATTTGAGGAGGGCAAAAAAGGCCCCTAAAGCTCTACTAATGTACTGCTTCTGACATACAAGTAAAATGTATCTATAGAACTGCTGTGACTATTGCTCCTGGTCTCTTGTGTGTATTTGTGTATCTCCTAAGACTCCTGATGCTCTTTTCTGTTTTATTCCACAACTCTGTAATAGGCATTTAGATCTTTTCAAAGCCTACGTCATACTTGACAGGCAGGAAGAGCTCTGGTGAAGTAAGACAAGGGCTGCATTTAGCCCTGATGAGTCTGGAGCTTTCTGATTCAGCATGCAGATAAGAAAACACTCCAAAATAATCAGTTGCTTTTGTGAAAGGGCCAACACACAGTCTGCTCTCTGGGGTTTATGTGCTCAGGCTTCATGTTGTAGTGAAGACTGAAGAAAAATGCATAAAGGATTTAAGCACTTACAAAAGTAACTGCAGAGCTTAGGGCACTCTGGGTATATTTAGGTTTAGGTGCTCACGATGGTGAGTTCTAGGAGCCAGGCAAGTGACTGGTATTTCCATGTGAAAGGTATAGAAATGGGACCTTCAAGGATCCCTTTTCAATGTCTTTGTCACCTCCTCACCTGAGTTCTTCTGCAGAATTCTGTGCCCCAAACTTGTATAGCAGATTAGTTATTGCTATACAATTTGTTATGTCCCTGCATTCCCCGCACTCCCACAGACTCCCTCGCTGGCCCAGGGACATTAGGGATGATATTAGAAAGCTGGCCTGGTTTTTGGCTGTTGCTTGGCTTTGGTAGATTGGTCTGAGGAAAGGCAGAATGAGGTGTCTCTGCAGTGCTAAGGTGCTGCACAGCCACTTGCTGCTTTGTACAAGGACTCTTAGGATACTTCACAGCGTTTCTCTCATGGGCAAGAAGACCAGGCAGGTCTTTCTCTGCAGCCTTTTTCCCACTGTCTCCATTGTGGAGCCAGACACACAACCTGCTTTAAGAGTACTTTCTGTTCTTTACAAATGATAGAATGAGAAACTTGTGTCCATTTTCAGCCTTTTTAAGAACATGCTGCTAGCAAGTCAGGCTGTGGTTTTAAACTCGGACAGCGATGGAGAGCGTGCAGCAGGTGGAGATGAAGTGATATGATTCATAATAGGTGGTCTTCATGAACGTGTTCGTTTCCTCTTTGACACATGTTGAACTTACTTTCAGGCGGTAGGGAGGCATGTGGCCACTGAGGTTCATCTAAGCACATGTAGTCTTCATTTAACAGTTGTAACCTCTTTAGTTAAATCCAATGCAAATGCAAGTTACTTTCTTCCTCTCTGTTTTCAGATGTCCAGTGCAAGCATTGGTATTTAGACAGATTTAGGCAGCCAGTTGCCCTTTCCAAGGCCCTGACATCCATTTGTGCCCTGCAAGGAACAGAGTCCTACATCAGTTGGTGATAGTGCCTCTAATGAGTCAACTGTGAAGCTGTTGTTTCAGATCTCCCATGACGTGTGTTGCAGAGGTATTTCTGGCTGCTGATGTGCAGCAGGAACCGACTCACAGGTACTACAGTAACACACCTCTCAGAGTCCCCCAAACCCACACCACCAAGTACTGTTCACCTAATATTTCATTTCACTAAAAGGTTCAGCACTTTCCATCAATCATTTTCATGTTATAACCTTAATCCCTGTGCGCATCTGACACCGGTTCCCTCAGATAATCACAATGTGATTACCAGGTTTAGATCAGTGTTCTAGTACCTTGCACTTGTTTGACCTTGTACATGTTTTAAAGCACCTTTTGTAATGAAATCTAGTCTTCAGCCTAAGCAAGCCTCTGATTTCCATAGCAATTATTACTAAGCAGAGCAACTAAGGTGGCAGTGTTTAGTGGTGAAAGTGAAGGCATGAATGCAGTTTTTAAACATAGAAACTGTTGTTTGGTAATGAAACATACAAGTAATGTATTTGATTTTTCTTGTCCTGCTTGAAAAATAAATACATCCAGCCTGTTTAAAGCTCTGTCTGCTCAAAAAGCTGTGTTATTTGAAGAACTGAATCCCACCTGAAGACACTTGCAGGCGTCTGGGTTTGGTATTGGTAGCTGCTTGGTTCAGGCTGGCAGTCTTTTTGAAGCTTGTCTTCCATTTAAACTGCTTGTGCTGTTGCTCCTTGCAAATGTAGGACAATAGGAGCCTCGAGTGTGATTTTTGATCCCCTGCTGGGTACTGCTCATTGTGAATTGATTAAAGCCTTCAGTAGGTCACAGAGCTCTCCTGCATCAGCAAGAACTTCGGGTACAACTACAATGTGGATGGAGATTTAGCTTCACAATAACACATAGTTCATGGGGATTGTGACACCGAGTCAAAACCAGGGGGCTGAGTAAATGAAGTGCTGCACATCCAGTCCTCTGCCATGCAGAGCTGTTTTGACATGACAACTTCTACTCTTACTGTCCCTGTCCCTAGCTGAGAATGATCTGGTAAATTGCTGCAGGCTCAAACTGCCTCCAGTAAGACTGGGATGTGAGTTAGATGAAGCTTGTGTCTAGAAAAGGGTTGCAATTCCCCAAAACATGTTAAAATGTTCCAGACCACATGAAAGAGAACTCTGCTTCCTGTTGTCCACATGGTGTCATTTGACTTTCTTGCAGGTATTTAGTTTTCCTTCAAAAAGGCAACATGGAGAGTATCGATGAGAGGCAGAAACACTCCACTATTATACTGTGATTAAAGATGTGCTGTCTTTAATCCTATAGCAGAGGAGAGACTGGCTTAAAAAGCAGGCACAGAGCTTTAGTGCTGTGATGTTTCTGGTCTTTCTTTATCAAACAGTAGAAGTAGTGCTTGGATCCATAAAAAGAAGTTAACTAGTTTAGTAGTGACCCAGACGCAGGTTACTTTATTCCCTCTAATTTGACATTGTGTGTGTGCACCATCTGGACACAGGTGGAACTCAGAAATCAAGGTGTCTTGTTGAGTCCTTCTATACAGGTTCAGAATTGCCTGATCATACATTGCTGCTCTTGTAATCCTATTCCAAAATCAACTGGTAAAGAACAAGGTAGGTTTTTTGTTACTTCCCTGCCTGAATGGGCTCATGTTGGTGAAAGCATAATTATTGTTTGCCTTAATAGCAGCAGGGAAATTCTACACAAATTTCTTGTCTTGTCTTGATCTAGATCACCAAGAAAGGCACACTGCTTTCTAGAAAGAATATTCAGACTGAAGGAAGCCTAGTTACCTGAAGAGAAGGCAGATGTAGAGGTGGGGAACAACGTCACTTGCATGCTACATGAAACAGATGGGAAACACTGCAGGAGTGAACTTGGTGGGTCCCTCTCATCTCTGAATTCAGAGACGTTGTGAAATGCACACAGAAACACTGTGGAGAATTCCTAAGTTGAGGCAAAACAGCCAGTCAGAAAATAACACTGAGCTTAACGTGTTGCCTGGTATGACCTGTGGCTACTGACCTTTGGTGCTCTTCATGAATTGCAGGCATATACATTTTGGCTTGTGAAATGCTGTGCTGAGGAGTGTGTCCTGCAGGAAGAACACGTGCTCAGAGGTCAGTCAGCAGCCACAGCTCTTGCAGTGCCTAAATAAAACCTCAGTGTCAAGATGTAGCTTGATGTTTAGCACATCAGCTGAATAGACTCTTAAAGCCTGTGTTACATCACTGCCTTTTTATTGCCTTGTTTACAGGCTTTTGGGGCATATTAATGCAGTAGAGTGCGTGTCTGTATTCAGTACAGTTCACTGTTTCAGGAGATGAAGTCATGTAACATTTGAGGTGACCAGTCCTACTTCAGCAC